GTACTTACTATGTAATACCAGTGTTGTATGATGTGTATTAACTATATATAACACCACAGAATTATATGACATGTACTTACTATGTAATACCAGTGTTGTATGATGTGTATTAACTATATATAACACCACAGAATTATATGACATGTACTTACTATGTAACACCAGTGTTATATGATGTGCATTTACTATATAACATCATAAAATACATGTGTACTTACTATATAACATCATAGAGTTGGACGATGTGGGAATGAGGATTTAACCTTCGAAGTGCTTTAACTTCTGTTAAACTCAAAGCTTGGTCGGCGCTGGAGGAAATAAACAGAAACGATTACATCTTTTGAACGTAAGTGTTTTTGTAAAACAACTTGAGATTTAAAGAAAGAAGGAAACAATTATGTTGGATAGATTTTAACACTTGAAATCATCACAAAGTGTTATTACAGTGTAATTATCTCTGTGTTAAATACTTATACAGACATAATAAGAGTTTTTGTATACGTTAACACGCACTAACATACCTTGTAAAATCCCCCTTAAGTCGCTTGCACGCGTACACCTGTCCATCTCTTAGGTTCTGACAGGCAAGAACCTCTGCAAAGCTACCTTCGCCTTTCTTCCCTAAGATTCGGTACTCTGTAAGTAAGTTAAACTCACTATTAACGATGTTTATTTACATCAGAAATCTCAATTAATAAGAACTCCACAAATTTTAATAAATCTCAAACCACCAGATATAATTTCACTATATTTATTTGGCCATTTGCATCCCGAAAAAAATCACATATAGAAAACGTGACTTTTAAATAGGAGGTGTATCAACTTTATTATTATTGTGAGGGGTTTCGGCTTTATTGCTGACGTGAGAAGTGCCAATGTCAATAGTGAAACAGAACTGGCTATGCATAGTGTTACAGCCTATTATTATTTTTGTCTTGCAGTCAGTTTGTCTATCGTCTATCCTACAGTTTTTGTTTAGCATAAAAAGTTTTTCTACTCACTCTGTAACATGATTAACGAGGCCTCAATAGAACAAGCCGCCCCAGATACTGGCAGTCATTCCGATCGCTTTGTCCGTCTTTCTTCACCTAATGAAAAACTAATTTAACGTACCGTAGCGGCCGCTGAATCTTTGTCTAAAATTTCATAGTTATAAGGAATATACAGCTAGCGATTTGAAGTCTATTAGCAGCTGTTCAGAACAAATTTAGAGACGTCAGATCAAGCTGCTATTTATTGGTTTCGTAGCTAATTCCAAGTTACCGAACGTGCCAGTTTAACCGCGACAAGCATCTAAACAACATTACATGTTTAAGCACCAAAAACCTTTCGCTCTGGTCGTTTTGTTCAGTTGGTATTTTCACGGCCAAATAGACACCATTTCTGTCGCTATGACAACAGTAGAGACAATCGTTTTTTTATGTTTCCTTCGTCACGTGCTTGGATTTATCCAATGAAGTGGTATAGGTAGTTGGCTAAATAAAACTAACAAATGGTAATATTAGTGATATACTACAACGTTTCGTGATACATAAGATCGTTAAATGTTTTCCATATCAACAAGCATATCAATATTTTTGTTTGAAATAAAAAATAAATTTAGATATTGAACACAAATGTGAAAAGATTAAACATAAAACAACCAGAAAAAAAGATAAATACTACAATATATCTTATGAGAGCGATAAGTGATAAAATGTTTGATCATAATATCACAGATTTACCATTCTTCCCCAAGGTAGAAAGTAAGAAATAAAAAAACAGTGTTTGATAATACTGTTACGTATCTGCTTGTTTGTTAATTTCCGGTACAAATTCTTCCCGAGGAACTTCAGCGATACAAGTCCTTTCTTAATTAAAACTAATTTATTCTATCTCGGTACAAATTTGTAATACACAGATTTTCCATAGTCATTTTAAACCTAACAATCTTTATAACACACGCTATAAATCACAGTGATTCACACATTTTACTTACTCTTCGATCTATCTGCCTATCTCGCTGGCTTTCTTTTCCATGCTTATATTGTTGCGTCATCGAGGTCACGTGATTGGTGTGGCGCCCTCTAGTTTCTAGAACTATCTTGTTCTTTCAGGAATGCTCTAGTATTTACTAGATAGGGTAGTCGGGTTTAGCGCGATTGTTGAAGTTGAGTGTATTGGTAAAGTTATATTCGGAAATAATAAACCAGTTTTATTAAGAAAGGACTTGTGTCGCTTAAGTTTCGTCGGAACGAAGTTACGGAAAGTTAATTAACAAACGGAGACGTAACAATATACTAAAATAGAGGTCGTCTAGCAAATTCTCGGAGATTCGCGGGGTTCCCCGATAATTCTAGAAACTCCAGCGTGTATGCTCTCAGCGTCACGCGACTTTCGCTGTCGTAACACTTTCTTTTCTAAACTAAACCATTTTTAGAGTTCGTGTGTTTATTACGAACTTTAGGCTCTCTTTACCATTTCTAGAGTTCGCGTGTCTATTACAAACTTTAGACTTTCTTTACTAAACTAAGCCAGTTTTAGGGTTCGTTTGTGTATTACAAACTTTAGGCTTTCTTTACTAAACTAAGCTAGTTTTAGGGTTCACGTGTCTATTACAAACTTTAGGCTTTCTGTACTAAACTAAGCCAGTTTTAGGGTTCGCGTGTCTATTACAAACTTTAGGCTTTCTTTACTAAACTAAGCCAGTTTTAGGGTTCGTGTGTCTATTACAAACTTTAGGCTTTCTTTATTAAACTAAGCCAGTTTTAGGGTTCGTGTGTCTATTACAAACTTTAGGCTTTCTTTGCTAAACTTCTACAGTTTTTTTTATTATTAAGAAACGCTGTACTTATGTATTTTTCCTGTTCAGAAGCAGGAAAAGGAACGTGTGTATATCTTTGTGCCTGTACCTGAGGAAGCTTCGGATGGAACGTTTTCCAGGAAATAGTCGTTCTGGAAATTTTTTACTTCAACATTTGAATGTTCCTCTTTGCTCATACACAATATAAATAGCAGGGAGTGTACATCTTACTATATTTTGTTGGGAGTTTGTAAGGCCTGAAGTCTGTATGCAACCAACGTGCCGAAGAAGCAACATTTTTCAGGCACAATACGGCTAGTGTATGAACAACGTGCCCTTTTATGTAAATTTCTGATAACTGAAGGTTCGGGAAAAGAAATTAAATTACATAAAGTGCGCATGTGAAGTAAAATACCCTGTGTGGCTCAAACAACCGAGAGCAGGATGTCAGAAAATGTAGGACTTTCTCACAAGGTACGTTTGTTTACAGTTTAATCTTGATCCTTCTCACTGTTTAACCTCATACTTACAACTATGTGTTTTTCTTCATTGCATATAGTGTGTTTGTCTTTCTTTCTGTCTCCCTTTGTCTGTTTATCTTGCTTGTTTATTTTTCAAGCGCAAAGCTACAAAATGGGCTATCTGAGCTGTGCCCAACAAGGATATCGAACCATGATTTTTACATTCTTAAACTTTAAATCTTACCTCTAAGCAAAGGGGGAAATCTATATATCTACATGTCTACTTATCATATATTTATGATTTGTTTGTTTGTAATTAAGCACAAAGCTACACAATGGGCTATCTGTGCTCTGCTCACCACGGGTATCGAAACCCGGATTCTAGCATTGTAAGTTCGCAGACATACAACTGTGCCACTGGGGGGCGTTTATGATTTAAAAATGCATTTTTCCTCTAAAACCTATGAAAATTCCTTTCCTTCCTACGTGCGTTTACCTCGTGAAATATATTAAACTTATTTCAGATTTAAAAGGAACGGCAACTAAAAACTCAATCAATGGTTTATATAGAAAAGATATAAGACAGATATGGAAAGAGAACTGGGATAATATAGACAAGATATAAGAATGATGAAATTTTTCCATCTTGTTAAGAGAACTGACATAATATAGACAAGAGAATATTTTCATAAAGAAATTAACCTCTGCTATTTTTGTCACGTCATGAACCAGAAAACTCCAGTATTAGGTAACACAAGAAAGACACTTGCATACGTAACTTTATATCAAATATGGTTATTACATGACTTGCTCTTTAGTATATTCAAAATCGTTTTAATATAATGTTCTCAACCTTCTGTAAATCAAATCATTCTAAATGCTATAATGTTACATTTTATCTGTTTACATTGAAAGAGTACAATCTACCTATTCATGAAATTTAACATATAATACGAAACCTTAAAACACGAAAAATGGGCCTTTAGTTCTAGATCTGTGGTAATCAAAAGGTCCGTAATAACATATGAGTCGCAAACAAAAACTCCATCAAATTCCTATTCGGTCTTCTACGTGTTTTACACAAAAAACTTTTCTTGTTGTGCAGTTTGAAAATAATACACAGGATATCGTGTTGTTGTGATATTCAGGTCCAATAATATCCAACAGATATATGTGGTATTCAGGTCCAGTAACATCCAACAGACATATGTGGTATTCAGGGCCAGTAATACCCACAGATACATGTGGTATTCAGGTCCAGTAATACCCACAGACATATGTGGTATTCAGGTCCACTAATATCCAACAGACATATGTGGTATTTAGGTCCAGTAATATCCAACATATATATGTGGTATTCAGGTACAGTAATATCCAACAGACATATGTAGTATTCAGGTCCAGTAATATCCAACAGAAGGATATTACTGGACCTGAATACTACATATGTCTGTTGAATATTACTGGACCTTAATACCACATATGTCTGTGGGTATTAATGGACCTGAATTACACATATGTCTGTTGGATATTATTGGACCTGAATACTACATAAAACAGACATATGTGGTATTCAGATCCAGTAATATCCAACAGACATATGTAGTATTCAGGTCCAGTAATATCCAACAGACATATGTGGTATTCAGATCCAGTAATATCCAACAGACATATGTGGTATTCAGATCCAGTAATATCCAACAGACATATGTGGTATTCAGGTTCAGTAATATCCAACAGACATATGTTGTATTCAGGTCCATAAAACCCACAGACATATGTAAAAGTATCTGAAAAACGTAGTTTCAATAAATGTTTTGCCGAGAATGAATCGAGCATAGACAAGGAGCGAAAGAAGCACTCAATTGAATAAATAAACAATTATCATCCATGATGAAGATAATATATGCTAATTAGTATACCGCCTACTAAGTGTTCTTTAATCTGCCATGACTTTCTCTTGCATCTCATCCCAATGTTAGAAGATTTGAAGAATAATGAGTCGGCTGTTGTTCGGTTATTCGTGACGTATCGCAGGTGTTAATCCCAATTATTTTAGTCAGGGTTAAGAAACGTAGCAAATATACACTTGAAATTCTTTACCAACCAAACCATTAGACTGAGGATAATGTAGTGAAGTGAATATTTTCACATGTAACACTGGACACGACTTTGTAAACGTCTTACCGTTGAATGTTTTCCTTGTAACACTGGACACAACTTTGTAAACATCTTACTGTTGAATGTTTTCCTTGTAACACTGGACACGACTTTGTAAACAACTTACCGTTGAAGGTTTTCCTTGCAATACTGGATACGACTTTGTAAACATCTTACTGTTGAATGTTTTCCTTGTAACACTGGACACGACTTTGTAAACAACTTACCGTTGAAGGTTTTCCTTGCAACACTGGATACGACTTTGTAAATAACTTACTGTTGAAGGTTTTCCTCGTAATACTGGACATGACCTTATGTAAACAACTTACTGTTGATGGTTTTCCTTGTAACACTGAACACGACTTTGTAAACAACTTACTGTTGAAGGTTTTCCTTGTAACACTGGACATGACTTTGTAAGCATCTTACTGTTGAAGGTTTTCCTTGTAACACTGAACACGACCTTATGTAAACAACTTACTGTTGAAGGTTTTCCTTGTAACACTGGGCACAACTTTATAAACAACTTACTGTTGAAGGTTTTCCTTGTAACACTGGACACGACTTTGTAAACATCTTACAGTTGAAGGTGTTCCTTGACGTGTGTTGCTCTCTTTCCAGGAGGACCAAAGCATGGTAATTCATCGCTCAGCCAGCACATCAATGATGAAATGTGCTGAAAATAAGCCACTGACTAAGTATCGGTCCATTTGGTGAACTTATTGATGAGGACCAAATACCTCCCTCAATTTTGGGCAAAGGATCTAATAGAGTTTTCCCTGGGTGACTATCACTAGAAGAGAACCCAAAAAATCTCTAATATAGTTTTCTCTGATATGGCTGTTTTTCCTCTGAGCAGTTTATGCTGTACATCATGACTAAATGTCTTATTGCAAATTTGGCCAATAAACCGTTTTTGTACAGTAGCAATAGTGCGTAACACTGTTTAGTGCCTTCCAGTTCTTGCATTGTGCAAAGCTTAAAGTATTTCTTACCCTAAAGCTATCAGGATCACTAGCTGTATCATCTTGACTACCATGTGTTGGTGGTTCATATTGATGGTACAATGTGCCATCGTGCACTCTAAACTGACTACATATGGTTTCTTACTTCACACATGAGTACCACATTTTCTAGCTTGTAATTGGCATATACCACCTTGCTGCACAAACAGTAGCACCCAATCTATGTCTGGGTCCTTTATGTACTATTCTCGAACTTTCTGAGTGATTTTTCGTGGTGACCATCCATATGCAGAGGTGTTGCTGCTTGCATGGTTTGTTGTCAGTGGTGCTGCATTGTGTCCAGAATCTGGAAATTCACCAAACAGACATGTGTGACGAATTTATCATTATATATATTTATTTTAATATGAACGTTTGTTTATATTAAATTTATATTTAGAAATATGCATAGCTTATAATGTTAAATATGTATTGGGATATGTATATGTATACATTAAAGTTGTAGAAGATTCTCGAGTGTAAGAACAAACAATATATGTATGTACGTAAGTGCTTGTGTTAGCATCAGTATTGTTACGTAAAGCTGAAATCTCGAGAAACTCTCCACACGCCTATAAACATAACCAACGCGACGCGCCAAAAAAAGTAGCTATTATTAGTTTGATATACTCAGTGTGCTATAAACTTCGGAAACTATAACTGTGATTGTTATAATGCTTATCAA